CCCCCAAACTAGTGTGTCATTTGAGTTCAGTTTGCTGAATGTTTAAAGTGCAAGCAGGGGAAATAAATGTAAACTTCCGGTAGTGTTTTGTTTGTGGGTCTTGGCCTTGAACCAGGGGTGACCATCACTAGGAGTTATGTGTTGGTTCTCTATTAGTGTTCAGTCTTTGGCTATTCCCTTGAGACTGGGTTTGTCTGGTAAGTGGATTAAGAAGTTTGATGCTTGTAGGCAAAACTCTAGTTTGAGTCTGGATTTGTCTGGTAAAGATTAAGAAATTGGATGCCTGTAGGCAAAATTCTAGTTTGAGTCATGAAGTTAATACAAATGTTGAGGTAAAGAAAGTTTTGCTGTAAGCAGTAGCTAATAAGCTTTTTAAATGGGTCACTTTAAAATTTGTGGGGAAAAAAAGGATCCATTTCAGGATGAGCATGAAAATAAAGGGATATCCGTTGTATGATATTATTGAAATCTTTTTATTTGCTTTGATTAAGTTCATTAATGGGGCAATGCAGGTGGAATTGGCATGGAAAGCTGTCTTCTGTTTGTGTTACAGCAGCGTTCAAATGTCCCATTTAAAGTTACTTGTGTGCTAATCCAGTGACTAGGCTAGCAAAGACTTCAGGGTGCGTTTCAGGAAAATGTCCCCGAAATGCATCACTGGAACTAAATGTTTACTCTTAACTAAATTGGTGAAATAGTGTTACGCACATTGAAGATCAGTTCAGTTGAAACAAATGGAGAGATTGGGGGATTCCTTTGAATTTGGGGAAAAGCTCTAGTAAAATCTACCTAAATTCATCAAGAACAGCTTGAAACCTTTTTTTTTTAATAAGGTAAGATAGTGGATCATCTAGGAAAGTAATTAGCTTATGCCCTTTATACAATAAAGAAAATCTATTTTTAAAACTGTTTTCCTTCTAAAAACAGTGGAAGAGAAAATTACTTCCCTGAGCTCATGAAATCATTGTGCTCTGCACTAGTGTCCACTGTTTCATACTGGAAAAAGTGGATAGTGCTGCTGGTTAATGATGTTGAGTTGCATGGTTAAATCCCGTAGCCCTGTAGGTGTTTCTTACAGGCTCTAAGCAGCTTTTGAGTCCGGGTCAAACTAAGGCATGGTGAACTCAAGTTCAGCTGTGAATACAGTCACATTTATTCTTGTTTATAGGTGGGCAGTTTCAAGCTTATTTGTTCAATACAGTTAGGGGAAAAAGTACTGAATATTTGATTCACCTGTAAAAGAACATTAGATAAGAGATACTAGGTCATTATATTTCTGGAATTTGTTTTCTAGTATTCTGGTGTATTATGAAACTTGTAAGCACTTACAGATTCTTGTTTTATGGAAAAAGAAAATTAAAATTCTTGAGAGAGGACCAAATGGATTCTGCCATGACCATTCCTTACTTATGTGTACTGAGAGTGTGTGGAAAAAATTTCAGGTATTTAGCTGCTTGATCATGAGCATGAGTAGTTTCCTCTATTTTTCCTCTGGTCCTAGAAGCACTGGTGTGTGCTTAGCTAACTTAAAGGAGTACTAGAACTACTCCAAATAACTAACATGCTTAATTTTACTAAGTTTACAAAATTAGTCGCTGGTGTAGTATTGTAGTGAAACTTAGAATTGAGATTTACTTTCATTTAGGTTGGAAGGAATTCTGAAATAGTTGAAGAAAACTGATGATAGCCTTCATTTTTAAACTGTTTCTTAATCCAGCAACACATGGGCACTAATTTAAGTTAATGGCAATATATTGATTTTTTTTTTTAAGCCCTAATAAATCTACATAGACTGTCTAACTTCCTGTGGGCTTTCAGTCATTCAGTAGGTTTCTTTGGAAGCAGCCAATACTGGATGCTGCCTCTTCAGATATTGTGCTTTGTGGGAAAGCACTAGAACATGGGGGCAGATCAGTCCCAGACACATCTGTGCAATGACAGTTTTATACAGTGGTGCAGATAAATGTTTTGAACCTGCAGAACTTAAAAATACTTGAAGAATAGCCACTAGAAATAACAATGGCCAGTTGAATAGTTATCTCTATTCAACTGAAAAAGGTGTCAGTAGAATGTGTAGTCATTATAAAAAGCCATGAATAATTGGCATATATTTCTAATAATGTGGCTGTGGGTTCACTTTAATATCTGTGTATACATTTGAAATGTGAACATTTATTCTAATCCCACAGTTTTCTTCTGTTTGAATCCTGTTGAGCTTGTTGGTCAGAGCATATTGTCTGCAAGAACTGCAGAGTTCAGAATTGCTCTAGTCATTTCCATCAGCTGTGGTCCTTGGACACTGTGTGCTTGCTTAAACCAATCTGCTTCTTTTTAATTTCCCCCCCCTGAAGACCCAGGTATAACATTTTACTCCAAGTATGTTCAGATGGTTTCTTCTTTAAGTGAGCTGTATTTCTGAGAATGTTTTGGCTTGCCTTAAATAATTGGAAGGTGGAGTTTTGTACATAAAATAGGATTTTTTTTTTCTGTAAGGAAAAAAGCTGAGGCTTGGTAACTTTCAGTAATAGAGGATTTTTTTAATACAAAAGTGATTTATAATGGGTATTAATGTAGTTTAGAGCCAAAGTTTGTTGTGCTGGGTCTCAGATTAAGAGATTCTTTAGGGAAGAGTGTTTGTAATACAAAACTGGTAAAGTAGGAGTGAGGGTAGCTTAATTATTCTCATTAAGGTATAGCCACTTCAGTCCTGAAGAAATTGTTATGTCAGAGATCGTGGACTTGCATATACACATAATGTAACCCACTGGCAGCTTCAGAGTGGATTATACAGTAATGCAGATGTCCCTTTAAGATCTGCAAAAGCTTTATACTGATTGGGATAACATATTGGGAAGGACTGTAGTTTATTTATTTTTTTATTAAACCAGAATGCTGAAGGATTATATAGTACTGTACATAAACAGTTGTTACCCTCTCCCACTGACACTGAAGGTTATTCCTGTTCTTCCCATTTTACACAAACTGGTGCTTTAAATGAAACCAGCCCTGGTTTGCTTTTAGTTAGCCAAGGCTCTGCTGTTAAATACGGAGGCACTAGGTAAGTTCCACTGCCTGAAGAGAGGAGGTCTCTGCCTGTAGAGGCTTAGCCTAGAGTGCCTAGATCATAGTCTTATAGGGGGCAGAGTTTAAAATACAGCCTATTTGACTGGTCATTGTGCTTTCAAGTTATTACTAGTTTTGTGCTTTATTTACTGATTTAAATACCTAATATTGTGTCCTGCCAAGTCAGAAACAGACTTGTCTTCAGTAGTTGTCACTCAGCACATATGCTGGTTTGAGAGACTACTACTTGCATAGGAGAAGCAGCATTGGCTCATTTTGCGTGTAGTTAAGTATGGTCACACACTGCTGTATTATTTATGTGTGCATAATACCAGGAAAGCTTGGTTGGGAAAATTGTAAACCCAGGGCAGGAACATCAGCTACTGTAGTGTAACTCTTCCTGTGGATTTGGTTGCTGTATGTGTTCCTACATCCATTGCTGAAATGAGAGGATTTGTGATGCAGGCAAGCTATTTCACTGCCTTTGATTTAAGGATGAAGGATTTAAAAAAAAAAAAAAAAAAAAAGACAGCAAAGTTATTCTATTCCCTGTCTTCTTCATGTTTACTTTCTGCCTGTAGTCTGCAATCCAGTGCATGATACTGGATTAGGTGACTGAAAGGCTTGGTGGGGCAAACTTTAGTAGTTGGTATGGTAATACTTGGTTGTCTCAAACTGCAAACACAAGAAAAGATTTAGAAAAGAATAGGTTTGCATGGGAAAGCCTGTAGTTGACAGGTCTGCAGCAGGAAGTTCCCAACATGCTCACAAGTAAGGTAGAGTTGAAGTTTTTCCCAAACCTACCAGTCTGATTTAGATGTTGGCTACAATGTAGCGAGAGAGCGGCTACAATGTATCTTAGCAACTTTGAAACAGACCCCAGAATTTGCTAGTTTAAAGCAATACAGTTTGGGATTTTCTGTCATTATTAAAATTGCAGTTTCTTTTAATGGGGCTGGTTTTCCTTTTGAGTGTGTCTGTCTGTGCTGTGCAGTTTTGTCAGCTGAGCCCTCTTATGTCAGTACATGTAGTTAGTCCGCTCAAATTATGAAGTAAAATGTGTTAAAACTAAGGATTTATGACAGTCGAAGTGAGTTAAATTTCAAAGCCTGAATTTACAGGTCTATATGCAAATGTTGCTCTTGACTTCATTAGGTACAACTTCAGACTTTTTTTTTTTAATTTTCTTTTGGTAAGCATTTCTAGTGATGTACAAATACTTTTCCTTTGAAGAACAGCCCTAAAAAGAAATAGTGTTATTGGTGTAGTGCATTTGACACTGTAGCATCTCTTGCTGACTCTTGGAATTTTATTTTTTTTGTTGCTCTTCTTGTCTTTCAAGTTGGGTTTGAAGATTATGGACCAGACTGTGATAGCATGAGGATAACAGCATTCCTGGATATTCCCGGACAGGAAAATTTAACTCCACTGGCTCGTCTTGAAAAATATGCCTTCAGTGATAACATATTTAACAGGTAAGGGTACAGCGCTTCATGGTAATGGAGTCTGATAGCATTGTGGATGTTAAGAAGTCACTAGTTTTGTTGTTGTTCTTTAAGCATGTGGCTAGTAGTTTGAATAACTTGTGTATAACATTTCCATAAAAAGAGGTTTTCCTTCTTTGTTATCTGAGTAAGATCTTTCAACTCCATCTTTGTCTTGTTTGGACATGGAGAAACCGTGTGACTGGTAGGTCTGTGTGTTCAGAGAAGAGCTTGATCTATTTTAAGGTGCATGTTTACATTTCATAAGTTCCCTTTGCATCTCATCTCCATGTTATTGACTGGATGCTATAGGGAATTAATGTGTTGTTCACTCTACAGGCAAATTATTGCCAGAGGTCTTTTGGATGTCTTTCGAGATTTCAGTAATAACGAAGAAGACTTCCTGACTGTAATGGAAATAGTGGTCAGGCTCTCTGAAGATGCAGGTTTGAAAGTTTTAGTTCTGTTTCTTTTTTTTTTAATTTTTGTAACATTTTACGTAAGCTGCAATATAGAAGGCACTAACTTCTCATTTTGAGAAGACAGTGAGTGAACTAAAGAAACTAACAGCAATATCTGTCAGTAAAACCAAGATTATTTGGTTTTTCTGTTTTTGAAGCACTGTGTGATAGGTGTCAGTAGTATTTTCGGAGGAATTCATTACACCTGAACGTGTGGTCTATGTGACACAGAACAGTTGTCTGCTTTAATACTTCCTGTGCCAGCTAGCGCTCTTACATTATCTGGTGTATTCGGGAACTGATCCCAGGTCTCTGGACTGTGATCATGTATATAAGGCTGTTCTGTTTTATTCAGCTTTGCTTTATGAACAGGAGATCTTAGTGGTATTTCGTGTTTTCATGAAGTGTTCCAGTTTTTCCTCTGTTGTGAAAACAAACAAAAAAATGCTGTTTTCTTCTTAAGGTAGTTGATCTTAATTTCATATTTACTGATGTAATTTTTACTTTCTCTTTACTACTAGAACCAACTGTACGTACAGAGCTGATGGAACAAATACCTCCTATTGCCATTTTTCTGCAAGAAAGTCGACCAAAATTCCCAATGGCGTTTTTTGAGTACCTTATGCCCATAGTGGTGAGATACCTCACAGATGTTAACAATCAGGTGGGAAAAACAGACTGTGTGAGTTGAATTGTTGAAAAATTGAGTGATTCGGTGAATTTCAGGCATGAGGAAGGGATAATAGGAAATTCTATGTTGATTGAGGTCTAGCTTTTTAGTGCTTTGTGTTTATTGGTTTTAGCACACTTTGCTAGAGGTCTGCATTTTATTTTTATACTTACTTTAGCAGATAATGGGAAACTTTTCAGGATTTACCTTGCAACATATTGAGACATTCTGTTACAGGAGTCATGGCTCCTGTCTTCTACTTCATTTTTTGACTTCTCCCCAGAATTCAATGAAATGCAATCTAATAATTATATTAAGCTTCCTTATTATATTAAACTATATTTATATTTTATATTAAAATTCCTTATGATGTTATATCTGAGAGGTTTTTTTGGTGGTGTTTTTTTTACTTGCATGTTCATTGAAAACATGCCTTTTGTGATTCTTGTATCAGTAAGTGTTGTTTTTAGAGTGACATATTTTTGTTTTGTTTATTCCTATTAATAGGTTAGAAAGGCAGGTCAAGAAGCACTGCTGATACTGCTAGAACAAGACCTTGTTGCTCAGAGTGACATTGAAAATAAGGTGTGTCCAATTCTGTTGGATCTCTCTGCCCCTGACAGTGATGATGAGTACAAGGTGGAAGCTGTGAATGTAAGTGGATTTAGAAGAAACTATTTTTTAAAATCACCTTTCTTCTGTATCTTTTAGCAGTACTATTATAAAGCTCTTCTAGACTCTAACTTTTGACAGTTGAGCGTAAACCCCAGAAAATAAAAATTGTATGTGCATTCTTAGTGCCCTGAGAGTTTTACATTAATCACTGAACTTAAACTTTCTATACCATCAGTATCTCAGTTTGTTTTATTCCTCAGTCGCTCTGTTGCGTATTGAGAACCTGCTGCTGTTATACAGTCGAAGCTTAAGTGTGCTAGGCTGTTAAGCCTTGAATCTTAATCGTTTGTAGTGCTGAGCACCCTTGAAACAACGTGAATTTCAGAGTCTGAACAGAGTCAGAACTTGATGCACCATACTAAGAGGTTAAAAATGACTGAATTCAAGAAGAAAGGAAGGTTGTCCTGGGTACTGTTTGTTAATGCCTTTGGCCAGGAGTAGAGGTGCTTTGCGTAACCTTTCTCGAGGTCCCGTGCCTTCTGTGCGATGAAGAAATCTGGGCTTCTGTGCTAATGAACCACTTGCGGAATCTTTTTGAAATAGTGCTGCTTGAGAATTGAGCTATACAGGGCAGTAATTGGGAACAAGATTGTTTTTGTATGATTAAAGATGTAAAGTATCATATCTTCAAACTCAGTAGGAGTTATTTTCTCCAAATGATGAGGGGCTTTTTCCTATAGATGATTGATTTAATGAGTATTAATAAGAACTACCACTCCATTTATAGCAGTAGTTAAGGTGAAGTCCAGGCATAGTGCTGACATTAAATAAAATAAGCAATCAAACCTTCTGTTTATTCATTAACATACTTAATTTTTTTTTTTTTAGTTTAGTGCAACAGATTTTTATTCTGAAATTTTGAAAAGATAAGGTTTAAAGAGACCATCTTTATATTTCAGGAAGCCAAATGTTTGTCAAAGTGGTAGCTAAATAACAAGAATTAAAACAAGGCTGCCAAGAACCAACTGCATTTTTAAAGTTAAAATTGCTGTGTTCCCCAACAGTTTCTTCACATTTGCTCTACCAGGTTTCACAGTAATGTTGTAAAAGTATGAATGATGACCTTATCTTAATTCTTAAGTGTTTTGAAAAAAAACCAAAACATTGGCTGTTCACTTGTAAGAAATCAGTTGACTCCCCAGAATAATGCTGGGGTGTAATTACATTTTGCTATGGCTGACACTTGATGTGTAAAATAGTTTTACCAGCTAGATTTTCCTCTTCCTTGTTAGGGAGTTTGGTATTGCTTAGGTGGTTTTTCAGGGTGACATCTGAGCACTGGGTGCCTTTTAGGAATTTGAAAATTTGGAAAGTCCTTGAATGGTGTCTTCCCTAGTTCTTCCCTGGTATTCTATGACAAAGGCAAGTGTTTCTACAAACAAGGCCTGTTTTTTGTGGAGGTAGAAAGCTTCAATAATTTTTGAAAAATAAAAATGGAAAGTTGAGTACAGTTAATCTGGCAACACTTGTGTTAAGCGTTAAACTCCAGGTGTTACAGGCAGAAGAGTTGAGCAGAAAGGAAGGGGCTCCCACACACCTTTTGACTGTGCAAATGTAAGAGTTAAAGTTATCTCAAAGTGGGAGCCGAAAGGGAAAAGGCAATCCAAAGCACCTGATTTTCACAGTAGAAATATGGTTTGTAATGGTAGTGGAAAATGACAGTTCCTCAGGGAAGGCTAAATTAATGAGCATGTTACTATCTTTAATTATGCTGTGATGTTAACTTCTATAATTTTTGATACCTGTGTATAAGCTCACATATAAAACTGGTTTGTTTTACTCTCCCTCTTCTCTCCTGTTGTATGTCAAATTTTTATTTTATCATGTTGTCTGAGCCTATAAAGAGCTGAAACTGCTTGTTTTTAAGTATCTGAACAGTCCTTTTGAAGCCAAGGGGCTTGCTTGCTTACTTAAGCTTGAGATATTTCTAATGTGCTTAAATACTGTGATTTTGTATGCTGGGGAGCGCAACGGAACGTTTGTCTTTCCCATACAAAATGTCAGTGTATGCCACATTGTAAAACCCCTGAAAATGCATTTATTAATAAAAAGTCTATTTAACCAGATAAAAAAGACAATTATATGCAGAAGTGTTATGTTCAGGCACAGTGGTGTAGAATTCTTTTCAATAAAAGCTTTAGTTTTGTTCACATAAAATAGGTGTATGAAAATACAAATAACATGTAGTAGTTAAATTTATTTGATGGTAGTTTTCTCTCTTGCTATTGGAGGTAATTTTTAGGTGGAGTATTTGGCTGTGCTTAAAAGTTTTTATAATTTTGTTTTCCTTACACATATCCCCTTCTTGATTTTTAGATAATCTGTAAAATGGCTTCTATGCTCAGCAGAACAACGGTTGAACACATGCTGCTTCCACGTTTCTGTGAACTGTGCAGTGATGGGAAATTGTTTCAGGTCCGAAAGGTGGGTGTGTTTTCAACCCTAAACCAATGAAATGAATTTGTATTTTGCTGTTCAAATGCCTGCCTGAATAATTTAGTCATAACTTTAGCTGATGAACTTCAAAAGAGTCTGGAAGAGCAGTTTTAATTTATTGACATGGTTATAGTTTCTGTAGTTCAGTAAAGAACCAGGTAACAGTTCTTGGTGAATAGCTTTTGTGTGGCAGTTACACTGATCTTACACGTTTAATGGTTTTGCACAATTATTTCGTTTAAGACACGAAGCTTGGTTATAGGATGCAAACAAGTTATGTGATCTCCACCATCTTATTCCAAACCTACAAAGTCAAGTGTGATAGATATTTTGGACATCCTTCCTTTAAAAAAGTAAACTAAAATCTGGTATTACTGAAAGGAGAAATCCCAAAAGTGTAAGAATTACTTAATTCATGGTCAAGTACAAAAGGGAGCTTGTAGCATAAGAAGTCTTAAAATACCTGAGTAGACTTAGGGGTCATGCAGAGCTTCAGCTTGGTCCTTAACATAAGCTGCACTTATGGGTATTTGAGCTGCATTACAGCCTTCTAAATAAGCATATGAAATGAATAAATCTTCTATTAACACAGTCCTATCTTAACTGATTTCAGATTTTGTCAGTATATTTTTCTAAATGAGGGAAATGCCCCTTTTGCCTTAATTACAGCATTTCTAATGTACTGTAAATGGCACTAACTTGAGACCTTGATTAAACTTTGCTTCAGCAAAGTACTTAAGCCCGTCTCAGCCACAGCAAAGATAGTTTTATCAGTACACTGAGTCCTGACCCTTATATTGTATTTTGGTCTGCTTTGGTTTTGACAGCTGCTGTTCAAAGTAATTTAAACTCTCTAGTAGGCTTATTGTCCCTTTTAGTGATTACTGTAGTAGAAGATGCTCTTTATGCAAACCTTTATTACTATTGATTTCAAAAGCATGTGGCTTATGGAAGCTTGCTCTAACAAGTCTTTGTTCAGGATGAGTTAAGGTTACAGGATGTAGTTACATGGCTGAAACTTGAATATTTGAACATGTACAGCTGTTACATGGGATAAATAATGCATGGTGTGGTTGATAAAAAACCTAACGCACTTGAAAGAGTCAGAATGTTACTCAACTTTTTTTTATGTCTTAGATTTGTGCAGCTAACTTTGGTGACATTTGTAATGCAGTTGGACAGGAAGCCACAGAAAGACTGCTGGTACGTAAAAATCAAGATCTGTTTACAAGACTTGGATTTCTCAGCTCAAAAGGTTTAATAATGAGTTCTCTTATTGTCTGCTCCATAAATTGATCTGTGCACATGCATTTTTTTGATTTGGCTAAGGCTTTGGTTGCAGTTACATAGCAAAACAGGGAAATAAATAGAAATGCAAAGTTCCTGTTTTGCAAAACATTTTAAAGTGTAATTGACAGCACATATATGCATATATACACACACATGCACTTGAGAATTACTGACTTCTTTTTTCCCCCTGAGGTAGATGATTAGTCAAGTTACAATTTCAGGGACAATAGACCATTAATAATTCTTTCTATTCTTTCCTAGTGCATATAGTTATACGTAAAATCTTCATGAAGTAAATGGGAGACAGCTACCTTTTTCCAATTTCTTCTATTAGCGTGTGTTTTTAACCCACCCCCATTTTTTCTATTCTTCACCTATTTTATTTTCTCTTCAGCTGTCATTGTCTCCAGTTTCCAAACAAATATCTTGGTAGTAAGTTGCCACAATCTTGTAGTCCTTAATTAGTCTTGGTTTTGCTTATTTTTGCCAGATTCCCAAGTTCTTTGAACTCTGTTCTGATAGCGTTTGGGGAATGAGAAAAGCTTGTGCTGAATGCTTCATGGCAGTGTCTTACACCACATCCCCAGAAGTTCGCAGAAGCAAACTGTCCCCGCTTTTCATCAGTCTTATTAGTGACACTTGTAGATGGGTAAGTGACTCGCTCTCTAACTGATGCATCTTCCCAGGCAGATCATACACAAATAATGGGCGCAAGTCAGAGAACTTTTACAGCACACTTCTAAATTTCCTGAGATTAGGGTCTAATATACTAAAATCTAATGTCCTGTAATAGCATAATATCTTACTTTTCCTCCCTTACTACTTGGGATTTCTATCCACTGTTTTTTAAGTGTAAACACCCTTATGAGAAGAGGTTGCTTGTGTTGAAGGTGTTAGTTGAAGTACACAGTGATGTCCTTCAAATTTGTAACTTGTTAAAAATTTCCTCACTGTGATTGTAGATACATGCTTAATATCCCAACATCCTTTGCTTAGGTGTCACTTATCTGGTAATTAATAATTGGTTATATTTGGTATTAAATGAAGCTGTTAAAGCTAAAAAATTGAACCCAATTTTTATTTTTCAGTGTTAACTCTGTGGGAATTGCATGAATCCTGACTGTTGTCCTTATACTATCACAGGTTCGTCAGGCTGCTTTTCAGTCTCTTGGCCCATTTATTTCTACCTTTGCAAACCCTTCAAGTGCTGGTCTTTACATTCGAGAAGATGGGACACTGAGTATCCGACCATCAACGCAAGATGTGAATTCCAATTCCTGTCAGCCAAGCAACAATATAACCTTAATGTCTTCCAGTACAAACTCTGCATTGTCCAGGTAAAATCATGGGAAAGATGTGATGTAGTGGAAGGGAGAAAAAGATACTCTTTGCTCTTTGGGGCTAAACATCTCGACTTGAGAATATAGTTCCAGAAAAAGCATGAAGAGTGAGGTCATGCATGTGGCTATTTGAGTGTAGCAACTTTATTGAAAAATTCTCTTTAGCTTCACGGGAGGGTGAAGGGAGAAAGCTGGTGAACTAAAGCATAGTGGTAACATAAACTGTTCTACAGAGTACTTCATTTTTATTTGAATAACTCTGTGTGTCTGCTACCAGTTCAGAACAACCAGTGGACATCAGACCAGAATTGTCGACGGAGGAGACTTCAGCTGAAGTTACTACAAAGCTCTCGGTTGAGAACCTAAATAAAGATACACGGGAAGAAAGTCCAGTTTGTTGTACCAATCCTGGAGAAGATGTGTCTCCACTGTCTCAGAGTGACAAAATTGCTGCTGAAGTCATTAAGGACAGCAGTTTTCCTGAAACGCACCCAAGGCTACAGCCTGCTGAGGATGTATTTAATACTTTTCTCTATTGGCGCCCTCCTCTGCCTGATATAAGTCAGGATCTGGAGTTGCTTCAGTTCAAGACTGAAAAGCACAAAGATAGCTGCTCTGTGCCATGTAATAACTGTGTCGCTAGTAATGAAATAAAAAAAGTTCTAGAAAGCTTGCAGGAGCACATAGATGATCCAGATGTTCAAGGTAAGACTCAGTAAACAGTTTAGTTCTGACCTTTATAAAACCCTTGACTGTGTTTTAATTGGCTTGGCATTCGTAAGGTGATGAGATCTTTCTTGAGTAGTAAAGTGTAGCAGAAAATTACTCAACAGCCTTTTGCACAAGACCAAAGTTACTTCTAGAACAACTGGGGAAGTCTTCCTACCTCCTGTTTGCATGAAATAAACCAGATCTAACTATAAAAGGGGAAAAAAACTGTTGAAACTTGTTAAAACTGTCTTTAAGTACTGTGGTTTTAGGGGTAGAGCTACCTGCTATCAGCTAAATTAATCTAATATTTAGTTGAGTGGGAATGGCCCTAATTTCAAGTCTCTTCTTTGCCTCCCCATCAAGCATGCTGATAAACATACTGAAGTGATGATAGCCGGAGAGTGGGATGCATGTGTGTTTCCTGGGCCAAATCCCTCTTGACAAGTGTGTCGTCCATAGTCAACGCAGTTTCTTGTTCCCCTAAGTCTCTTCAGTACCCTAGTGAATGATGTTTTCATCTACGTGTTATTCAGCCCTTCTGTGATGCAGAGCCATATCTGCAGGGGCTGCAGCATCGTTTGGATTCCTTGCTGTACTAGTAGTGAGTAGTAAGCAGACTCTGGTAGCGTGGCACATTTAGGTGTCTCCCATGGCCATTCAGAAAGGTACCAGGAAGATAAATTCTTCATGTGAGCGATCACAAGGAAAAGATTTAAAAGAGGAAGAGGTGAAAAAAATGAAAATTTAAAGCAGTAAAGGAAAAAGTAGAAATTGAAATGAACAAATGAAAGGAGGAAAAAAAGTGTAAATGAGTTTTGGTGAGAGCAGAGTAAAAGCAAAAGAGCAAAAAAAAAATCCCATTATGACTTAAGCAGAACGGTCTTCCTTCCTTTCTCAGAATAAGGAATATGTGGATGTTAGTTTCAGTTTTCCTTCTTCTCTGACAGCTTAAACATTCATAAATATGCCTGTAATCCAGTTTTCTGCCTTTTTAAAAGTTGTCTGTTCCTCTTATTTCATAAGTATTCTGGTATTCTTCACCTTTAAATGATGCTCTAATGTTTTGTCTTAAGACTGTACCTGCTGTAGGCCTGTGCAGATGTAGCTATCTCGGAGTTTCTGCGTTCAGAACTCGTAGTAACTTCATGTTCTTAATAGTAATGTAGCATAATGTGCAAATACAGCTTCTCCTAACCTTATTGGTGAGGTCGTGGTAAACATGACCCTTTGTTTTCTATCTGCTTCTGCAAAATGCTTCCCTTCTCAGGATTAAGTTTTTCTCAGAAATGTTTTAAATGCACAGTGATGCCTTTTCCAGGGGGTTGAACCAATTAAAGAATGTAACAAAAGGGTTTGTATTAAAATGTTTGTCTGTATGAAGAATGGGCAGTGAAGCAGTGTGCTGTGATGCCTCATTACAGGGGTTTGTTAGAAGTACCTTTCAGTAGCAGGAAAGGGTAGAACACTTGTGCTGCAAATGTTAGTGCATCCGTGCTATTCTTAATTTGTGAAGGCTTAGTGGCAGAGTAATGGGCTTTTCTTACTGTTTGTGCAGCTCAGGCTGGGCTTCTCTTTAACTTTTCAAAGTTAGTTAATTACAAGTTTAATGCTTAAGTGCAGAAGGGAGACTAAAATGTTCTTTGCTTTGTACAGCTCAGGTCCAAGTGCTGTCTGCTGCTCTCAGAGCTGCTCAGTTTGATTCTGTTGGTGACTATGAGACCAAAAAAATGGAAGAAGGCAGTGGCAAACTTCAGAGCAAAACTATTTCAGAAGAAACAGCTCTCTCGGATGCTACCTGCAACCAGGTGGAGGAGGATACGCTCCAATCCCCTGCCTCCCAGGATAGCATCAGTGACCAGTCGACCACCGGTCTAGTGAACAGCACGGTAAGTACGCATTGTGCTCCGTGTCTGAAATGAATTCTTACCTGCTGTATACTCTGTGTCTTCATGCAGTCACTGGCATAACCGACCTGCTTCTGATCTAAAGCCTTTGAACATTACTGTGCCACAGCTGTCACATGGTACTTAGGTTAATTAAGAAAGAAAAGCTACTGAGGGCTGGTACTTCTGTTTGCACACAAATTGCCTGAGAGTTGAAGTTCTGCAGTAGTCTTGCAGGGGTTTTTTAGAAGAAATGTACCAAGCACAGTCTCGCCTCTTCCTGTAATGAATCTAAAATCAGTCTTCTATCCCCAAACAGGAGGCTGAATTAGGTGATGACACATACACAGTTCCTAGTTACTGTTTTTTGATTATAATGTACGGATAGGAGTAAAAAGAATTGTTTGTTCTGTATTCAGTGTTGCTAGAGCTTGTTGTGAAATACAAACCCCCCCTTGTCCATGAATAAAAACTGCACATAAAACCTGTGTGAACAAAAATGTAAACTACTGTGTAAGATTTGTGTAGTTTTAGTCTTTTAAACCTTTTAATTCTTTCAAAGTTGTTTGCTGTTATTTGGGGAGATGCGTGTGCTTCATAATTTGATAGGCTTGGGAGTTTCCAGGAGTATGTTCTAAAACAAGTAAAGCTTTTATCATGGTATTGACTGACTGGGAGCAACTGCTAAGCTCTCTTGTTTAATACAATCTGAACTTATGCTAAGAATAATAAAAACTATTTGAGAGTATAGTAAAAGTAACCATCCAGAATCAATATAAATATTTGGTTTATTGTGTTAAATAAGACTGCTATTTTAGAAGTAAATCTAACTACTGTTCCCCTTGTTGCTGCTGGGGTCTTCATAGTGTATGTCTAAGTGTACAAATCCTGCCTTTTTGTGCTCGTACAAGTGCACTGGACAAGGCGTTGCCTGCAGGCGCTAGCGGTACAAGGCTGTTCTCTGCCTGAATTGCACTGTTCTGTGGTGGGATGCTTTGGAATATCCCAAACTGCAGTAAGGCTAATTCATTTCACTGGCTAATACGTCCTTTTCCAGGAGTCAGAGGAACAACACAGAGGAACCAGTGTCTTTTTAAAGAAAGAGCAAGAAAATAATCCACCATTTGAAGATGACAAGTCAAAATTACAGGTGATTAGAATAGTGTCTAATTGCTTTAGTGGAGTACTGGATACAGTTCATCTTATCCTTAATGCAGTGATAGCTTTTTGTAGTTGCTCCGTGCAGAAAGTGAAGAAATGCTTGGGGCAGGTGAGGAGAACCCTACTTTAAATCAGAAAGCTAGAAAAATTCCATTGCATTTGGTGCATTAGAGGCAATTCAAGGTCAGTACTGACTACTGCTTTGTCACTGCATTTACTGTTTGTTTTCAGCAAAGAAGAAATTTCCAGTTTAGTTTGATGCAACATGTTGATAAATTACCAGTCACTGTTCATTGCTGACTGCCCTATCCTAATAAGAGGGCAAATAATTACAGGGGTAACTCAGGCTTTGTAAAGCTAGCCCATGAAAGGAGAATCTTACCACTGTTGGTGTTTTGCTGCCAGGTGTTGGTAGCAAGGGAATACTGTAGCACAACAGGTGTATCTTCTTTCAAACCTAAAGGAAAGTGTGTGTTCCTGATATACCATCTTTGTCTGTAGGATATCATACCTCAGCCTTTACTAGACCAGTATTTGTCAATGACGGACCCGGCTCGAGCCCAGACGGTTGATACTGAAATAGCCAAACACTGTGCGTACAGTCTTCCTGGGGTGGCCTTGACACTGGGCAGGCAGAACTGGCACTGCCTGAAAGACACATACGAGACGCTGGCCTCGGATGTACAGGTAAAAAAAGGGGGTGTAATGATAAGTCAGTATTTTGGGTAACTTTGTTCCATTTGCACTGCAGTTACAATATCATATGCTATTCTTTAGTGAATATACACTAAAAATACAACATTCAAGATTTAAATCAAACTTTGTAAATATGACTAACATCTACTGCTGTGTAACTAGCTCTGTTCTTCTGCTCTCTGCCCTCACATAGGTGTAGTTCAAAAGCTTCTTTATTTTAGTTAAGGTACCTAATACAGTTTGCCTCAACTGTTTGCAGTGGAAGGTGCGTCGGACGCTAGCTTTCTCCATCCATGAACTAGCAGTTATTCTGGGGGATCAGCTGACGGCTGCTGACCTGGTGCCAATTTTCAATGGATTCTTGAAAGACCTGGATGAAGTGCGTATTGGTGTCCTTAAACATCTGTACGACTTTCTGAAGGTAGGAAAGTTTAATTTAATTTATCAACGTACATTTTTTTTTTCCTGACTCCATTATACTAGAAGTTTTTTTTAGACGTGCAGGTATCAAAATCTAATTACATGCTTAGTTTTGTGCAGTACTGCCATTGTATGTATTGTTTTTTAAGGTCCCTCCATTCTCTTCTGTCTCATCAAATATCAAAACTGAAACCCTGTTGTACATGTGGTTGTAAATGCTCCTACCTGTTGCAAAGGAATTGATATTTTGTGCAGTCCAGCTGGGAAGTTGGACCGTTGGCAGTTTGTATTTGGGGCTGGGAGACAAGAGAGCAGATCCTGGTGGGCTGCTGCCTAAGAAACACAGACCCTTATTGCAAAAGTGATGGCTGCACGTACTTTTGTGTGTGTCCAGGCACTCAGCTGATTGTGCACAATTTCTAGTAAGCATCATGTGAATGATCACTTGCTTTCAAGTAGGAAAATGCACACAGGTGTGAATAGACTAATACACCAGAGAACTGCAGGTACTGAATTTTGTCAGTTTTACACTCTTAATGTGGGGGTTTTCTTCCTTCAGTTACTTCATGCAGACAAAAGGCGAGAGTATCTTTACCAACTTCAAGAGTTTGTGGTGACTGATAACAGCAGGAACTGGAGGTTTCGTTATGAGCTGGCAGAGTACGTAATTTTGTTAATTCAGATTTTTAATCTACATTACTAGCTTGGAAATAGACAATTACATTCCGAAGTTTGCACCCTCTAGTTAGGAGCTAAAAGATTACAACCATTCTTTATTAAGGAGCTAAACTTATAAGGCGCTGGCTGTTGGGGTTGGGTATTTTGTTTGTTTTTGGAGCCTTTTGCAGGTTTTTTTGGCAAGTTGTGTTATAATCAAGCGTGACTGAAACTTGAATGTCTGTGATTATACCAAAATGGAGATTTGGTTTGCTTGCAGCTTATGAAATATAATGATCTGATAGATACTATTCAGTGAGGTTTCCATTTTTATCCAGTTCTAGACTGCCTTGTAAAAATCAGTGCAGTGTGTGTACAAAGTCATTTTTCTAATGGGTATGTAGGATTCTTAAATAATTTTATTCATTTGGTATTGCTATATGACTGGGTGTACGCAGGAGGTAGAGTAACATCCCACTGTTCTTTTCCTAAAAGCCTTGTTGATACTTGAAGCACCCAGAGAATGTTCCTAGGCATGGTTTGCAGCTAAAATCTGACCTTCATGTTTATCTCATTGCTCTGCTGGGCTACTGAGGATTCACTCTCCCTTTATAGTTTGGCCCAACAACTGTCTCGCTGGGTGCCAGCCTGTTGCACAGCAGCTCCCTGACACCTAGTGTAGGTCTCCATGCGTGGCTGTGGGTAACAAACCGGCAGTGCTGTGGCTAGAGTGACTTCTGTGTGGTTCAAATGCATGCACCCTGTCCTGAAATGTACGTTTCTACACCAAAGCAAATCTTTTGGTTTTACTCTGCAAGAATGTACTGTGGGCTGATGTTGCCAAGAAACTTCTCATTGTACTTTTGTTTGTATGTTTTGTTTGGGATAATTTTGATTCATTGGTACATCAAGTTTGGATAAGTCTCTCTTGGACTCCTTGCTGGATTAAAGAATGTGCATCTCTAATACATGTGTGCATCTTTATCCAGTAAAGAGAAGAACAAACTTTTGAACTGCTTTGTAGTAATCACACATTGCTGAGGCTCCAAACGATTGTCCCCGATGTTGAACAGATGGTTTAATCAGAGCAGGTTAATGTTGCATTTGCTCTAATCACTTTCTTTGTGTTTCAGGCAGCTGATCCTAATACTGGAACTCTACAATCCCAACGATGTCTATGACTACTTAAGGCACATTGCACTAACTCTCTGCTCTGATAAAGTTTCAGAAGTTCGGTGGATCTCCTTCAAACTGGTAGGGGATTTAGGTCACTTCCTGGCAGGAGAGGAGGAAATGATCCTTGAGAGGGATACCCAGGTTCCCTCTTTCTTTCAGAAGAGTGGGGTGAATTCAGATGTGTTTTGATAAACACAGTAAACACTATGGAAAAAGTGGAATGAAAACTTTATAAATATTTTAAGTTGTCAGATTTCCACAGATAGTAAAATCTTTCTGTGGTTGCATATGAGTGATAAATGTATTTTTAACTGGATGAAAACCAGGACATAGAGATCTGGGAGACCTTCCCTTAGGTTGGGGCAGGGGGTGGGATTTACTCATCTTTCCTCAAAGTTGATTTAATTTATGAACCTAATGACAGTGCCATCATCCAATAGATGTCCTGAATGGATAGCAAGATTCTTTCAGTTTCTTCTTTTTCTTCGTGGCACCATGGGAAAAGGGGCGTTATTTTAAAGGTTGTTTTAATGTCTTTGTTTCACCTGAACAAACAGCTTTTTTTAAGGCTTATGCTTTCATGTGTCCAGAATAGGCACAGTAATCTAGTCAGTCGTGCAAGGACAGCTGATTACACCCAACACAGGTTTTGGTCTCCCTTTGTAGGATTCAAATGAAATGATGCCTTTCTAAATTTCCAAGGGCTACAATTTAAGTCCCATCTCCCCTTCACAGGTTGTAGCGATACTACAGAAGTTCTATGCAAACAATGCAAATGCGCTGGGATTAAATTTCATTAATGAACTTGTAGTGCGGTTTCGTCACTGCTCCAAGTGGGTTGGAAGACAAGCTTTCGCCTTCATTTGTCAGGTTGGAATGTTCTCTGTTTCTATTTCATGTGGAGCCAGTTTGAGGCTTTTCAGCAATGTGGGCAAAACCGGAATTTGGACTCACAATTTCTTGTCATTCTTTGTGTTCTGTAATTCTGTGGGCTGACAGAAGACAGTGGCAGAGTTAGCCTGGTCCCAGTACTTCAGTATGTTTATCTGGTTTTGAAGCTGTGGTCCTTGTTTTATGCTCTGCCTGCAGCTGACCCTTGTGCTTCCTGGTGTCCCGGTAGCAAAGTCAAGAATTAAGTCCTAAACTGAGATGTGTTTTATACTACTTTGAGGTGATTGGATAAGGATTCCCAAGAGTTCTTTAAACTACCAACGGGTGCTAGGTGCCAGGAGCTATTTTCCTCTCTATTTCCACTTGCCAACCGCCTTCCACACAGAAGACTCCTACTGGAGTAGTGAGGAGCAGGGGTTGAATGTTGGGAGCTGGAAGGATGCTGACAGGCAGGAGGGCAGCACCTCCTAAAATGTAGTGGGAAGTTATCCGCTCTTACGGTGGGTTGTCCTCAGATGAACGTTAGAATGCCAAGACATCTTTTCCCAACGGTGCTGCAAAGGTTTCACCAACACAGGGCAAATCCAGGGCGGGATGGTGAGGAATGACAGTACTGATCTTGCTTTCTCATGTTCTGTGTTTACCCTGCAGGCCGTAGTGGAAGAAGAGTGTATGCCTGCCGACCAGTTTGTTGAACACCTGCTCCCCAGTCTTCTGAGCCTGGCTTCGGATCCGGTGCCGAACGTGCGGGTTCTGCTGGCCAAGGCCCTGCGGCAGACCTTGCTGGAGAAAGGTGCGGTCATTCCCTGCCCGGGCCGGAAGCCCTGGCCGACCCCCCGGGCGGGAACCCCCGGCCGACCGCTGCCAGTGCGGTTGCTGACGGCTAGCTGACCTGGTATCGGGCCGTTCGGTGCCGTGTGGGCTGGGGGTGCGGGAGCGGCGGTTCGGGGCCCGGAGCC